AAGTTGAAGCGTCGACGGCTGCTGTTATCTTTGAACAGCACCAAAATTCAACCTTCACGATGAATGCCGGCCCATCCCACTTGTTCTCCAGAGTTACGCTAGGACTGGGTTAGCCAATTTACATGTCTAGACCGTTGGTCACGCGAGGAGCTGACTTATCATACTTGGTCTTTGTAAACCGAGGCAGCCATGAATGCTCTGAATATCATTACAATAAGATGGTCGTATAATAGAGGCTACGATAGCTGCCGAACTTGCTGGGATGACTCTAATGTAGATTTGTTCTATATTGTTCAAATAAGCATCCAAGAATTGCAATCTGTACAACTAACAACGTCACATTCTGAAAAGTAGCAGTTAAAGGCATCGTCCACCCAGATTCTCTATCCATGTTTTGATTGTTCCGGGACCTTCTCATCTCCGTGATTCCGAATACGAAGTCGAGAATCTGCGCAAACTCAGCAATCCTCGTTACTGAAAAGTGCAGGTCGGTTTTCCTCAACGGTGATTGGCTGGGCGCGCACGTGTGGACGGGCATGGATGGGAAGGTGGTGCCGTCTGGGGGTTCCCGTGCATATCCGTCCCGGAGCAGATTTTCTCGCTTCCGAAGCGACATTTTGCGCCGTGACTTGGGCATTGGCTTGATACGGGGCCCTACTATCATATGCTACCAAGAGCTCAAGACCCTCAACGGTGGACGATGCCTTTAAATATAAGACGTCACTTTATCCTTTGCTGTTCTCGCCAAAATATCAAAGCAGCTGTACCGCACAGAAGCCGCGTGCAAAATCAATCATGAGCACTTGGAGCAAGTTTTGGTCGAGCTGCTCAAAGTTCTCTGGGACACTTCCTCGAAACGGAGAATAGCTTCGTTTGATTCTCATTGACTCCACTGGATTATAATTTAGTGCACTTTTGGCAGAGTTTAGCTTTTATTCTACAAATAAACGTGGCGAGCACGCACTGTGTAAATAGAAAGATGGTCGAACGAATTATGTGGCGGTACATCAAAGAGGATGTTTTCTATCAACAACCTGCAAGAGACTTAGTGAAAAATGGCCATATAAGAGCATCTAAACCAAATTTCTACTTTAGCTTAAGAAAAATGGTATGCGAGCTCCTCTATTGCAAAAGAGTTGGAACACTTTCACAGATAACTTTCGCAATTTTGTTCCCCTTTACTCCTAAAAATCTGACGTTGAGAGATTTGCTTTAAGAACTTTACTAAGAGTTGCTACGCACAACTTTAGTTTTTCGCTAGAAAAACACTCGGCAATTTCTACAGCAAAATATTCTTTGAAGAAAGTTGCCAACTCCGGCGGCATCTCGCGGACTGTTCTCAGGCAGACCGTCGCATCGCGCGCGTTCGAACTTCTATACATCGACTTCGAAGGCAGGCGCGCTAATCGATAGACCGGTACATGCTTCGTACATAGCAATCTTGTTATAAAGGTATGCCTCAATTTGCTGGCTAGGCGCAAAACATTTACATCACGCGCCCTCGAACCTCCATCTGTCGACTTCAAAGTCGACACCAACACTCTAACCGCTCGACTACTCGTGCATTGCTCGCAGGATGTAGAAGCGGTAAGGGAATGAATGCGCAAACAGCAGTACTTGTCTTCGGACATGATCAATGCTCTTGAGCTGTAGATTTTGAACTTTGAAGAAATCTTCCAAGATCGTCTTGCTAACGATGCTTATCTATCGTTATCTTTGTATTTTGGATAATTTTCTTGTACGTATGCTTTCCGAACGTTGAATTCGTTACGTTGATAGAACCCAGGATAATAGTGAATTATTCAAGCATGCTACCGGTGCTCATCTACGCTGCTCTTGTTAGGAGGCATAGGAATATCCGTCACGGACGTCTCCATCCCTTGCGCCTCTTCCACTTGAATCAAAATCTGACTCTGAGGAAATTTCAGATGGAGGAGGACAACCTTCACCGACTTTGCGACCTTTTGCAGCCGTTGATGCCTCAGGAACGCGTTGTCAATTGGAGCGTCGAGGTGGAAAACAAGGCTAGTTGCATAAGCTCTTTAGTGAAAATAAAGGATAGGGAGCGCATACACAAAGAATTAGAAAATTTCTTAACGGCTATAAGTACATTCCTCTCTGTCAGCTTCCAGGGATATAACACAAAAATTTTTGAAAAATCAATAAAATTGATAAATGAAATTATACGTTACCAGCATGCATAAAGATTTGTAGAAACCCGAACTAATCAGCGAATTGCAGGTCATCATCGCCTTGCGGTACTTTACCACGAATGCCCATCAAGCGGTTCTGGCGGACACGATTAGCGTTTGTCAGAAGACCGTGTCGAACGCCGTGGAGGACGTGGTGAAAGCACTGGACAACCGACATTAGTGCAGAAGTTCATTCCGTGCCATCTCCAGGACGGGCGCTATTGCCGGAGGAAGGCCGATGGCTTCGCACATTGGGAGGCTGCCGAACATCGTGGGAGCGATCGACGGCACACTTGTGCCCATCCTGAGGCCGGCCAACTCAGGGTGGGGTACTATTGCCGTAAAGGATTCTGCGCCATCAACGTCCTAGCCGTTGTCGACGCCCACGGTGGATTCATCTACATAAACAGTAACTATCCAGGTTCTGTTCGTGATGCTACCGTGTACAGATATAGCCGCCTACATTTGCATTCGCAGAAGGAGCTGTTCCGGAGGGTTATTGCTTGATCGTTGATTCGGGCTTCTCAGATATTAGGTTGGCTAAAAAGTAAGTTCGTTTTGGCACACAAATTATCATAAATATTCTTGTTGTTTTCAATCTATTATTCTTTGTGGGAAAGTAGTTCGAAGCTTCCTCTATCACATATCAAATAATCAGGATTTTCTATCGTCACTAAAGACAGTTATGCCTCAACATGGCAAAATTTCCAAAAGCTCACTTCTTTGACTTCTTGAGCTTCGTTTTCATGCTGTAATGGATGTAAAGAACAGCAGTTTGGTGTTTGGATACGGAGGAGTTATTCCTATTTAGTGAATAACAAAAAGAACTGTGATCTGCCATTTTGAAAATGTTTCACTGAGAAAACCAAATTTCATCATATTTGAGCATTATGGGAAAAATGCGATTTTTCACTTCTTCACGGATTTTTTCCTGGGAAGATAAGTTTTACTCAAACAGAATATATGTTCCAATACCCAGTGAAGTGCTCTTTTCAGAGATACCAAACAATGGACAAAAAATTGTCTACAGCATTTGTAAGAGCTGAAAAGCGATCGAACTTATTTATTAGCCAACTAGTAGCAATAAGATCCTCACCCCGTACAGGAATCCTCAAGACCGGACACAACGCCGATTTAAGAGGACCCACAAAAACATAAGGTTTGTTGTCGAGAGTGTGTTCGGGAAGTGGAAGGGCTGCTTTAGGATCTTGCAGACAAAAATGCGCTCGCATCCAGAAAAGGCGGCAAAAATCATATTGGCTTGTGCTGTCCTTCACAACATCTTGCCCTCGATGAGGTGCCGTCCCATGCGACATCTTCTCAGATAATCGCCGGGGGCAGGCGGTCTGCAAACTCGCGCTTTTCTGCAAGCGGTCAGCAGAATTTTGGGGCGTGGCCAAACTTACAGCAAGCGGTACTTCCTTTACTGTCTAATGTTCAGCCAGCGGGCAGCAATACAGAATTTTCTGCAAGCACTCGTCCAATTATCTCTTTCAGCGAGCGCTGGTCGAAATCAGCTGGCGCTCGGACGGTTTTTAAGCAGTTTCGAGCATACGGCGAGCAGAAGTGAGACTCTGCATGGCAGAGGTGTCATCTATGGTTTAATTACTCAAGTTTGGGGTACTTTCTCTCAGCGGAAAGTACATGGGGGCTGCGCGGTCCTCCACAAAGGACCGTGGGGCCCTCGAAACTTTTGCATATTCTCGCGGGAAGTCCGCGAGAATGCGGCCACTGCGCCGCAGCTAATCTTCAAGGAAACCGAGATTGTTCTTCAAGCATTCGTCTAAAATCTCGTCAAAATTCTTCCAAATATCTGGAAGCGGACCGCAAGAAATCAGCGAACTATTTTTCCGGTGCGCGCCTGCTCAAAATTCGCATGGCCGCCTCCCCGGCGATCATCTGAGTATTAGGGACTAACTAACCTGTTTATTGATTTAGGATGTTGTTGTTGTTGGTGTTATTGTTAATTATCGTGTAATTATAATGCAATAAATTGTAACGATTTGAAACATGTGTAGAAATTGCAGTAGACAAAACATAGAAATAAAATCGTGTCAAGTCCGTGCCATTTCGTGCCAGCTCCGTCGTGGTGTCAATTGCATTTGGGTGCAGTGAGATATGCGCGTCAGGTCCGTGCCTGCTTCGTGCCAGCTTCGTCGTCGTGTAGATCGCGTTTGGGGGCAGTGCCAGCTTCGTGCCAACTTCGTGTCAGCTCTATCAAGAGTCGGTTAACTAATTTCGGATGTCATGGGTGTCATCTTTCTCAGGGTTGGTGTTTAACATTCAGATGTAGACAAGTGAAGGCTTGTTTGCGATGGTCTGGAGGCGTTGCTGCCATATAAGCGAGCATCTCAGTCCTTCAAAGCGAACCGTAGATATACCTGCATAATAATTATTAGCAGGCCTTTTTGTGAGATAATCCCACTGAAAGCCACTTTCGCAATGATTGTAATAGTTCTACTAAAATCATTTTACAATATGTACAAAAGTACGAGAACACTGCAGGATTGTTGCGAGAAACATGCTGAACAGAATGAAGTTTATTTTGTGGAAGAAGGTTGCATGTGGAAGATGCTGTGCTTGTTCAAATGTGATGGTGTGAAAACAAGAAAACTTTCCGAATGACCTAATAATATAAGTGTATGCGTGGTACAAGTTACAAGTTTTGTCACTTTATTTCGTATCTCTTATATCTCTTATCATATCATCAATGCAAGAAGTAAAAACGTCAACAATAATAAGATCGATGTTCTTGAAGACTAACGAACATGTAAATATACTAACGAATTGAACCAAAATTATATAACATTATGTCAGCAGAGACTCCTCGATGTCGTCATCGACTTTCGTCCGTTGCTGTTTGGATGGGGGGCGGGATGTTTGCACCTTGATGCTGATTTGTATTCGATCGACCAATGAGTCGATCTTGCTCAGAATTGCATACTTTTTCTCCAGGTACATGCGCTTGGCCTGCAAACATAGTTTAGGTAAGAGAGTCGCAAAGATAAGTTTTGAACTTACTCTTATATATGTTGTTTGCTCTTCAAACAATTCATGATGGGCATTGGAGCAACGACTGAGCTTTCTGGGAGTTTCGTCGACAGTGTCGTCGCTGTCGCTATCGCTTTCAGACTGTAAAACGACATGAAGATTCGTAACAGCTAGTGATCGACTCAGAGAGGATAAGTGCTTCAACACTGAATTCCGCGGAATTTTTAAAGGAGCGGTGGCGCCTGAAGCTCTTCGTTTACATGTGCAGCTCAAATGGACGGTTTTTTACTTACGCAAACGGCGCTTTCAGCCTTAGGCCCGGAGGCCGCCGGAGCAGGCCTCCGGGCCTAATGCTCGCGCTATCTTGACATCTGCCTCCGTCATGCTCGCCATTCCTTTCGTTAAAGCGTGTTCCAGTGCCATGTTGACGCCGCCCCCGGTAGCAGATCTGTACCTGCAAAGAAGTATATGTGTCTGGCTAACATGCTGGGAAGAATGCATATTACTTTTTTTTTTCATCAGAAGATCCCGAACGTTCCCTCTCCTTGTACGCCAGCATATTTCAATCGACTCAATGCTCATCTCCTTATCGCACCCTTCAGACACAATTCTCCTTATCTCCTTCGATGCTTGCGTCCTTTTATGATTACAGTTTGGTTCTCTATTGCCAGATCTGTCCCACAAAGGTTCCTTCTTTTTAACACTTCCTTTTTAACACACACACAACACTAACACTTTAGCACACTTTAACATTTTTTTAACACCAGCTAACGAGTAGCATATCCGGCGGCTCTTCATCGGGAGCTATCGTCATCACATAGAGTCTTTGAGACAGAATCGCGAGGTACATTATTGTCAAAATATCGTCCCTTCTTCATTATGTCTTCATAGAGTGAATAAAAACCATTGTCTCCATTCTTCACAATTCCATGAACATAGTCGAAACAATCACGGGTACTATGCGCCCCTGGAAACCATTGCAAATTCAAAGAGTACTGTGAACTCTCAGGAACTCTTAAATGCATATGAAAATGATGCTAAGAGGAATGAAGTGACGAAAAAATAGCCACAACCAGGGCCCTGCACAGATCGTCTGGAAGCAGATTGGACTTAGTTTTTGGAGCAAAAAGCAAAGGAGATATCGTTTCTAACGAGTCGGGGTCGAGCACCAAGAATAAGCGCCATTTAGTCGAACGCAAGCGTTTCGGACAGGTTATCACGCGATTCACATGCCCTATCGTGCATGGCGAAAATTGCGCGCGATTTGAAAGCAAGGCTTAAATAAACAAATTGTTTGTTTACGGCGCACACAGAATCATATTAGAAAAAATTATTTGCGGAATTATGCAAAAAGATCTGAAAACTTATGTGAAGTAATACCTTTTCCAAATTTAGATCGTCTCCAGACGGCCACGGCCACCAGACGATCTGAGATTGTCTGGAGCATATATTTCTGTCGCTTCACATAAGTTTTGAATTTTTCTATCATGGACGGATTCCCCAGTCAAAAATCTATCCTTGAGCATAAAAACATTTTCATATCACTGCCTTTTCTTTGTTTTTTACCTTAATTTTTTTGTAAGTCGCTTTGTTGAATATCGCGCTCTAATGCCAAACTCTCGCGCATGCGTAGTATTCAGCTCCAATCTGATTTTTGCTCTTGTCCCACGTTTTTTTCGACTAGTAAATCTTTCTGTTTTCATCTTTTTTAAGTAGGTAGGTCAAAGAGGACTTCGTATAACTTCCGAAAGTCAAGGAAGACTTCGTTTCCGGAAACCCTAGAAACCGACTCTTGCTGGGCCCAGTCCACAACCTTTGAAGCAAAAAGCAAAATAAATGGTGTTGAAACTGCAAAACTCTTCACTAGAGGGATCGGTTGCACAGGTCGCTAAGGTAATGAAAATGAGATGAGATGACTCAACCAGAGCAAAGGTGAAGAATGACAAGACTTCCATAACGCAAGCGAAGTGCATTGGTGACCGCCGATCTCTAGTGTCAGACGTTGTATTCGCGTCTTCTGAGATGTTCTGGTCAACAATAACGCTTCTTTGACTTCGCTCAAAGAAAGGAACATTTATAAACAGAAAAGAGCGTTCAGCTTATACAAAGAGGGTACAAAAGACCAAAGTCCGATAGTACTTCCGTTTGGTGCACAACAACAAAAATTACCTCATAAGAGGCTAATTAGATTTCTGGCGCGTCCTTGCTATTCAGACATCAAGCAATTGTGCCGAAACACAGAAACGAGAAATGTATGTCACGAAGGAGTTCAGCTGTAAGTGCAAGACCAGTGGTAGCAAATTCAAGGACCTTCTTGTTCAACTTGCCGGAAAAGGAGAAAGAGAAATCACGCTATGCCACAAGTTCTCGAAAGTTAGACTGAGTAATTGAGAAGCACCCCACCATGCAAGAAATTTTCCTGGCAGGCTCTTGGCAGGCTCCTCAGTTGCTTTCTCACACATCCTAAAGAATCTGAATATGTGAGTTTAAGGCCCATGAAGAATCCTAAGCAACCGCACAAAACGAAATGACGCTTACATGGATGGATGGAAGCCATCTATCCGTTTCGGAAACGGGAGCGAAATTAACTTGAGTGTGAGGGCATACTAGTTGCTGACTGACTCTCTTGATCTTGTATAGCTTTAACGGTCTGGGAGTCAACTGATGGTTTGGGCACCTTCCTTTTCGAAGTAAGAGATGCAACAGAATCATGCTGTAACACCGGCAACACCGGCAACACCGACAATCTATGGCCGTTCCCTAAGAGGTGAGCTTAACGCGCTTCTGACTCTCCCGATCAGAGAAAAAAAATGAAAACGATTGCTAACAATTTTTTAGGTGAAGTGGTGCTCAAATACAGAAAAATAGAGAACACAGCAAATGCTAATGCGAAAGATCTGAAATCAAAGTGTGCATGCACATATCATTGATCGGATTACTCGACTATAGTCAAGCGATGACTACTTCGTAGGCAAAATATTGTGGACTATGGTGCTTGTTGATAGCAAACATAAAGCTCTTACACTAGGCACTGACTAACGTCACGCAGCATAAACAATGAGAGCGTCACGACTCTGTCGGTCCCAATTTTGCGGCCGCCTCGCTCGCGCTTGCCCCGGTTTCGAGCAGACAGCGTCTTGGATTTTCCCACCTTCAGTAGCGACTGAAGGTCATAAAGACTAAGGGACATGCGTAAAGAATACGATCGCGGGCGCGGCGGAGGGCCCGAGCGAAATAATTTGACGATGTTAAGCAAAAAATACTTCAAAAAATTGGAAAAAGATGAGCAGACGTTGTAAAAGCCGCATATCTACCTTCTTTTCTGCACTTGCGTCTCGCCCGACGGTAAAAGGGCCAATGTGTTGATGGTTACCTCCTCCGTGGGATGCTCAGCGGGTTCATGGTCACACCTCTGACTCTTGGCCAGCTGTTTCTCTTGGCTTTATACTTGTGATAAGCACGATCAGACTTCAACATAGGCTTATCTTATTGGCACGTCCACTTCCAGCACCAATCCTAGAAAAACTCTTGTACCAAACAGGAGTATGCTACAGCTATTTTGTCTCGAAAAGGAGGCCAATCGTAGAGCGGTTTGCAAATTGAATGACCTTCTTGGCACCAGATAAGAGAGGCGAATTTTCTTGGTTTCGGGATTGTGAGCGACAACCGTAGCATAGTTTCCTATAAAATGCATTCATGTAATGACTGCATATACACTGACTTCGACACACCAAGGTCTCAAAGGAAAGAAAATGAGAATCAGGAAGAAAAGAACAAAGTACAAGCATATACCGGAACACTTGGCCACCTTTCCTCGGTCACCGCATTTTCCTTCAATATTAATAGTGATTCCTTCAAGAAGAGAACCGACAAGAAGCTTGCTGGAACATGTACAGTATAACCAGACCTGAAAAACGTTGAGAGAGAAAGGCATGCTTTGCTCAGCTGAAGTAAGGAGTTCAAAGTGAAATTTACCTTTCACATATTACTGGTTACAAGATGGCTTTCCAAACACTTATTAGATACTCATGTTGGAAAAAGATTTGAAAATAGTAAATGTAATCGGATATCAACTTTCCCTCGCGAATAAATGCTTTATTTGTTATGAAGGATGCTTATTTGCAGCATAGAAACTTTGTATGCATCCCCGAAACCTTGAAGAGTAGAAAGAAGAGCTTACAAAAAAGTATTAGACAGAATAAAGGCTGACCTTTAATCCACAGTAGACAAACTGTCCGGTGTACATCCCTTCAGCAATAACAATAGTACACTGGACGGTTTTGTACTTGTAGGGGTCTCGGAAAGCAATGGTGGCCAGAGTGCACCACGTCCAGGTTCGCGAATGATGTCTTTTACAACACCAAGAATGTAACAGTGGCGCTCAGCATAGTCAAGAGGCCTAAGTTGGGCGGCTCCCTTGCGGTGCTTGTTGTGCGATTTGAAGATACACCTCCAGCTCCTTACGGTCATGAAGCTATCGAATCGGGGTCTGAACTGACACAGAGAAGAATAATATGTTCATATGACGAAGCAAAATTTGCTTCAAAACAAACAAACAAACAAAACGGAAGAAATTATCATGAAGCTTTAGAGCATCAAGAGGGTGTTAGCACCATGATTGGAGTAAGATAAAAAAAATCTGAAAAATACATTTGAAAGTTATACTGCCTACCTTTTAAGATTTCCACTATGTCTTCCACTGTCTTTCTTAGCTTTTAGTTCCGATTTGATAAAACAAGAGCGATAAAAAATCCAAAAAGGCCATCAGCCAGGGGGCCGTTGTGGCCCCCCTGACCCCACACGGCCACCTGCAATGATTAGTTTAATAAAAAGGCGACAGCAACAATAAAACGACAAAGACGGCAAAGACGGATAAAACGCTTTCAGAAAATAGAACTCAAATAGTAACTGAGGGCGCCATTATAGCGGCGTCATCCGCAACTGTCCAAAACGCAATTTCACAGACGCCGTCGGCAAAGGTGCCACCACCTCGACGTGGTAGGGGCACGTCGAGATTCCGGCGGGTTCCTCTCTCAAAGGACCAAATTTTGGGGTTTTGGTTTCTGGCCACCTCACGTAAAAGGTGCCAGCGACCTGCAGACGAGACCTGCCGCCAGGTCGGGGGATTACTACCGGCCCAGATCTTTCAAAAAAAAGAATGTTGCTGTCTTTTGATCCGCCTAATTCATAAGAAGAAACAGATTTCTAAGCAATTGCTTTTCAGTAACTGACCTTCGCAAAATATCTTGTGCAATAGACAACGCGAATTTATTGTGTTTGACAGGTGAAAAAACATCGTTTCACTACCTGGTATTTTAGTTTGCGAAATTCATAACTCGGAACTTGTGTGTTTCGCACTCCTGCATTGTATCTAGCAAGAAACCGTCCAAGGCAGAAATAACTTGTCCCACTTCATGATTGTTTGAGATATAAACAGGGCGGCACGGTGGCCTACAAGCAAGCTGTATATCGTTTTTGGGACAAAAGCAAGGGAGGTTTCGTTATTGTAGCCGAAAAGACAAGAGATTTGCGACGTTTTTGTTTTTAGGAGATTTTTTTAGGAATTATGGTCCAGGGTCAAAGAGGACTTTGTAAAAATTCGCAAAAGTCAGGGGGGTCTTTGTTCTTTTCATTTTCAACTAACCACCTCGTGCCGAGCCCTGGATATGAAGATGAGGAAAGTGTTCCTGCCAGAAATCTTAGGAAGTATGTGAAGAAATTTGTGTCAGTTTCGGAAGTTGACTTTAAGACGAAAAAAAAACCTTACATTGCGTGTCCTTTTTGAAAGAAACGTTTTCAGGACTTTGTTTTCCATGAAAAATTTTGCGCTTTTGCAGGAAGATTTCTGTA